AAAAAAAAAAATAACTTTTCTATGTCCAAACCAAAGAAACGCCTAAATAATCTTTCATGAAAACTGTAGAAGCCACCACATCTCTATTTTTTTAAAATTTTTTATTGTTATGTTAATCACCATACATTACATTGTTAGTTTTAGATCCACATCTCTATTTTACTTCAGACCCATTAATACTCAGACAAGCAGAGTTCTTGCTCAACAAGGACAGATGGAGTAATAGTTCATCAACTTGTCAACTTCAACAGTAGGTCAATGATGAAAACCACAAGTGCATGTTGATATGTGTTCTTTGGTTGGTTGGTTTGTTTTTGCAACTTTCATATTTCTTTTCATGTAACTTTGTTTTTTTTTTAAAGTACGCCCCACTGCCCAGTGTGGAGCCCAGTGTGGGGCCCAGTGTGGGGCCCAGTGTGGGGCCCAGTGTGAGGCCCAGTGTGGGGCCCAGTGTGGGGCTTGAACTCACGACCCTGAGATCAAGACCTGAGTTGAGATCAAGAGTTAGACACCTAACCAAATGAGCCACCCAGGCACCCCTCATGTAACTGTTTTTTAATAAAAGCAATTCACTAAGTCTATGAATGTAATTTTATTTGTAGGTTTTTATAGGCCTGTTCACATTTACAAATCATCTGACAATGTGTCCAAAATTTAGTCAGGAAAATATGGATAATGTAGTATCCGTAGTATGTTCTTTTGCCAAATCCTAAGGTAACCAATCTCAGAAGGGTCTGAGTAGGGTGCCCACTAGAGGGCGGTATGGATCTCCCAAAGGACTGACAGACAAACACTTCAGGTCTTCCTTTCAGCTTACACATCACTAAGGACCTGTTAATTCAGGATTGCTAAAAATGAGGCATTTGTAAACTAAAATTTGCACATTACTCAATGTCCTCCAGAATCCAATTTGGCATTCTACTATGATCCTGGAGCCTGTGAGAAAGTCACAAAGCTCCTACCTGCAAGCAGACATGGGGCTTGTTGGGATTCTTTCAATTTCCTGAGCTTTTTCTCATCAGAGCATCAGCAGCATTGGTCTGAGGTGGTCGAATTGCTATTCATGCTCTTTAATCAACTGCTAGCTTTGTTTCATCATCATCATCTATTCAACATCACATGGATTGTTTGATTCTCCCCTTCAGGGTGTTGTGATGCATTTGTATCAAAAGTAATTTCACTTTGTGTTTCAGGTGTCTATCTTATTGTTAAAGTGGACATATACAAATTCCCTCAAAATCTGCTTGTGACAGTGCATTGGTGATGTTCTTTCAGAGAATAAAAGCTAGTTAAATAATTTATAATATCAAGACAAGTGTTGTAAAAGTATTACCTATTTTAAAGTTTATAGGACATTGTTTTATAATTAAATGGGTAAACTCCGTCTCTCATATGGTATATAGTAAGTATGTAGTGAGCAACTCTAGCAATAACTTTTCTGCAACTTTTAATTTTGTTCCTTTTTAATTCTATATTACCACCAGTGCTTTTTCGAGTAAGGCCGTATACATGGGTGAGTAAAATAGTTTTTATGATCAAAGCCATTTGAAAGTTTCTGTTCTAAACCCTTTGAATGGATTATAAATGTTTACCCTCACAATCCTTAAACATTACACAATAGCATCAAAATAATCAATATGGGACTTCTTTCCAATTTCTCACCTTGTTCATCTAAAGATCCTGGCTATCCAGATCTACTTCTATAATTGTAGTGCTTGTCTGTCATGTTTCATCCCAGCCTCCCCATATGAATACATCAGTACGAATCCCAGGACATATCTCATCATTATATGATTATCTGTTTCTTGGCTGGCACAAATGTCACTTTCTCAGAGAGGCCTTCCTAGAACATCCTGTTAATCTGTGTGTCACTCTCTGTCCTATTACCCTGTTTTATTTTCTTTGGAGTAATTATCAGTATATGAAATCATCAGTTTGTTACTTGAGAAGATCAAGTATCTGTCTTACTTATTTATCCCCAGCTCTTAGATAAAATGTCTACCACATAAATAAGCACTTAGTAAAGATTGGATACATGAGTAAATGAATGCTTCACTCATTTCATTCATTCCATGGTGCTGTTCTGGGGACCAGATGACTTGATGGTCCATAGAGGCAGAAGTTCTCCTTTGAGCCTGATGGCATGCCCCATGTACATAATGTCTGAATTCCCATCTTCTATCAAGGATCTCTGAGTTGGTCTGACTGGTGAATGTTTCATATAGTTAGGGATGGTAGAAACTGTGTCTGACCTGAAGTCGTGGGTGATTTCCAAATCAAGGAAGCGTGCAGAGCTGACAGGTGAGTGGGGAGCTGCAGTCCGTGGGCTCCTGGTGAGTCATATGATGGTGGAGGAGGGCCAGGGACAGACATTGATGAAAACTGAATATATGGAGTCAGGAGTCAGAGAGTCTGGGAGATGGCAGCAGGGAGTGGGGGAATGAGAGAATAAGCAGGAAGGAAGTGGTAGGCACAGAGAATTGTGTGGTGGGGTTATGTATTTTTTGTTATTGTTTAGCAACTTTATTGAGATATAATTTACATACCACAAAATTCACGTATTTAAAGTACATAGTTCCATGGTTTTTAGTATATTTACAAAGTTATGCAATCATCACCAGTCTAATTTTAGGACATTTTTATCATCTCCCAAAGAAATCCTATACCCTTTAGTGTCATTCCTCATTCACCTGCCCTTTTCTCCTCCAAGTCCTAGGCTACCACTAATCTACTTCCTGTCTCTGTAGATTAGCACATTCTGGACATTTCATTCAAGTGGGATTATATAATATGTGGTCTTTTGTGAGTGGCTTTTCTCTTACTTAGCATAATGTTTTCAAGGTTCATCCATGTTGTAGCATGTATGAGTGCTTCATTCCTTTTTATAGCCAAATAATAATATTTCATTGCGTGGATATAAAAAAATGTTATTTATCTGTTCATCAGTTAATAGACATTTGGGTTGTTTCAGCTATTTTGAATAATGTTGCTATGAACATTTGCGCACAAGTGTTTGTGTGGACATAGGTTTTCATTTCTCTGGGGCATGTATCTAGGAGTGGAATTGCAGGGTTATAGGGTCACCCTATGTTCAACACTTTGAGGAGCTGCCAAATTGTTTCCCAAAGCGTCGATGCTATTTTGCGTTCTATTGTGGGGCTATTTCTGGTAGATGATTTTATGAGTTTGTTCTGGACACTTGAACCATCTGAGTACCAGGAGAACGAGTGTGTCGTCATTCTGCCTGGATCCTGCCGTTCAACTACCGCTGCACAAACCCCTGGTCCCCTGAGGCCCAACCTGCAGGGATTCTAATGTACTAATGTACTAATGTAACCCCAGAGGTGTACTGTGATTAGTCAGTGCCAGCAAGCCCTCCATCTGTTCATGCATTAGTCACCCTTCAGAGTCCAAGTTAACACTACCTCCTCTGCTACCTCCGTTGTTTCAATTCTGACTGCACATTAGAATCTCATGGGGAGCTTTCAAATATACCAAACCCAGGGTCCACACCAAAGTTCTAATTTAATTGGTCTGGGAGAAGGCCTGGGGGCTAGGATTATTTAAAAGGCTCTTCAGGGGTGCCTGGGTGGCTCAGTCTGTTCGGTTGAGCATCCGACTCTTGGTTTCGGCTCAGGTCATGATCTCTTGGGTCGTGAGATCGAGCCCCATGTGGAGCCCCATGTAGAGCCCCGTGTAGGGCTCCACGCTCAGTTGGGAGTCTGCTTGAGGAGTCTCTCCCTCTGCCCCTCGCCCCACTCATGCGTGCACTCGCTCTCTCAAATAAATAAATAAATCTTAAAAAAAATTAAAAAATAGAAGTCTCTTCAGATGATTCTAATGTGCAGACAGGATCGAGCACCACAGTTCTGCTCCCACTAGAAGAATCCTTTCTTCTCTGAACCTCACAGCAGTTTCTTTTCAATGGCACTCCCCAAAACTTTAAAAACAGATTCTACATTTAATTGCAATTATTTAAAATATATATTTTATTTGTCCAGCTGGGCCACAAGCTCTTTGAGGACAGAGCTGTGTTTGATTCATCCTCAAGTCTCCATCTGTCAAGGGACATCTGTTTATAGCACCACCAATGCTCCTGGTGCTTTTCTGGAGTAATGCATAGGAGCCCGCCGGGCAGCAAATTATCACGATGCCTTCCCTGGCCACCCACCTAAACTTGCAGTCTCCTCCTCCCCCACCTCCCATTCTTCCTTCCCTAATTTGCTTTTTCCCCTTGGCGCTTAGCACATGCTCTATGTTTCACTTATTATCTTCTTTATTGTCAGTCAGTCTCCACCCACCCTCCATGAGGGTAGAAATTTTTGTCAGCTTGACTCACTGCTGTACCCTCAGCACTCAGAACAGTGCCTAGCACATGGTAGGTGCTCAATAAGTATTTATTAAAAGAATAAATAAATATGTTAGCCTATATGTAAAAAGAGGTTTAATCCCTTTCCTCTATACCAGTGAGTTAGTTTTTTTGGTAAATACTTGCAGTCATTTATTATAAAGCCTTCCTTTTCCAGTAAAAGTTATATTTCTAACATAAATGTGTAAATTCTGAATTCATTATGTTTTAGAAATATAGTCCTATTTCTGAGAGAGTCTGCAGAGATTCTATGTAAGCCCTGGAGCAGGGATCATGGCATATCTGGAACTGTGTATGCAAATTGGAGCAGAGGAACGGGGTCTGGGATGGTCAGTTGAAGCTGGAGAAACCTGAACACTGGCTTGCTCTTGCACCATTAGAATTCAACTCCTAGGTGTTCCAGAGGACGATGACCGTGATGATGGAGGAGGCCAAGAAGAGCAGGTAGAGGTGGAAGAGGAAGGTGTCCATCATGTGGCTGAACTGCACCCACAGGTCAGCTAGCTGGGTGCTTGTCAATCCTGAAGCCCCATTCAGCTCTGCCTCTCTGGGTCCCAGCTCCTTCCCTACCAACTGCCCTGGCTCCTTCGGTCCTATAGGGAAGACAGAGACTCAGCCGTGAAGTGGGAAGGAGACAGGATTGGGGAAGTGGGGGACTGGGGAGGCTGGGCCCAGTGTAGACAGTATAGGCAGTGCAGATTTTCCTTACCAGGTAGGTGAGTGGGCATGAGGCCTGGGCCCACATTCTCCTTCCAGAGTGCAGTGGGGCAGCATTTCCTTGGGCTGGCCCAGTAGAGGAGCAGAGGGTGGAGCCACTGAGGCATGGGTGGGGGCTGGGTGGTGGCCAGGTGCAGCAGGTAGGTGATGAAGATGGTCTCCAGCAGGCTGACCGCCATCAGGGACAGACACAGGGCAAAGTAGACACCTGGGATGGGGGTGAGGAGCATGCATGAGAGAGGCCCAGAAGAACCAGCAATCCCCCCTTTTCTCTGTCTCACACAGAGAGCCCTTTCTGAGATGCCTGCTTTCTCCCTTCTGCCTTAGCTGTCTGAGCAGGTCTAGCAGTGTCTACCTTGCCTTACACCCCCCCCCCCACTTTCCAACAGTGAGGAGGTGGGCGTACTGATGAGGGGGTGCCATTAGCAGGAAGTAGTTTATTCGTCATGAGCAGGAAGACGTTGTAGCCCAACAGAAGGGTTATCTTGAATGGGGCACGATGCCCGCTTTCTGCCGGCAGGTAGAAGCTGAGGGTATCAATGGCGATCAGAAAGCTACTGGGCACCAGGAGGTTTATGACATAGAGGCTGGGCCTGCGCCTGATGGCCACCTGGGGGGAGGAGAGAACCAGGTGAAGCTAGGACTGAGGGGAGCCTGGGGGATGATTCCAGTCCCTCCCTCGGTGTCCTCAGCCCAACAGGAGCTCTTTCTGGGGCTGGTTAAGAAGCAGCCTTCACATGACTAAAAAGATTCTGCCATATCCACGAAAGAAAACCTATGCCTGAGCCGGCAGGTGCAGAAAGGGGGCTGCTCTGGGGGCCTTGGGAGAGAGGAAGGCTGTGAGGGTTGTGGCACCCAGTGGCTTTCTGGTCTTGGGACAGGAAGTGAGAGGCTCAGGCATTTAGAAAGATCTGATGAGGGAGATAAGGGGGACAGACACATCTCACAGTCTCTGGGCTTACGTAGAACATGATTTGGTCAAAAAGACTGGAGCCCACAGACAGCTTTGGGGTGGCCTTGTTGATGCCCAGGAGCTCCCACTCCCCTTGTGTGCGGATAATGTCACGTGAGGTGTCCACTATCTCCCACACTTCCTTTTCCAGGCCCAGCAACATGTTTTTCACTGCAGAGGGAGACAAACATTAATTCAACACACTGTTTAGCCCCTGCTCTGTGCGGGGCTCAGAGAGATGAGCTAGAAAACTGCTTTAGCTCCCTCTCTCTAGCTGCCCAGTAACATGGCTTCCTCGCTCCTCAGTCACCTCCTTTCAATTCTGGGCTTTCTCAGAAGTCTTGTCTCCTCCTTAGTTCAACTCCCCCACCCCACCACCCACACACCCCCGATCAGCAAATACTCCACTGTCCCTTTTTAGGCATTTAAAAAGATAACCTTGCTGTGTGTGCTGTTTTGTTGCCCCACTCATTGATCTCATTTTACCCCATCCCGGAGCCCCCACCTCAACTCACCTGTGTAGAGGAAAGAGCTGAAGGTGAGTGTGCAGTTCTGCTGGTCAAAGGGGAAGTAGAAGATGTCCAGGCTACAGATGCTGGTCACCCTCATTGGTTTGTTATACACAACGTGACCGTCATTGGTCACATATGCAGAGAGGCCTTCCAGGGTCTGATCCACATCCATGCTAAGTGGTAGAAGGGGAGAGAGGCAGATGCTTTGGGTTTCACATCAGCTTAAGCTTCTCTTTTAAGGTGGGGCTTCCCAACATTACTCACTACGGCCATTCTGCCATCTTTTCTGCCCATCACTTTCTCATTTCTAGAAGAAACATCTTCTAGAAATAAGAGACGGTTGATGAGCCATGACTGTGCTCCTCTGAAATAAGTTTTTGGTGGTCCCACTGAATGGGTTTCCCCTCTACCGCCCTGGCCTGCCCCTTGCAGAAGGGTCTCTGCTCCAGCTTTCCCTAGCCCTGGTACCCACGATTCCATGATGAAGATGTCTGGGAGCCACAGGCTCTCAGTTGTCACAGTGAGTTTACTGATGGCACCACATTCTTCTGGATCCCAGCTGATGAATGGGTTATTCCAGATCTAGAGCACAGAGCACAGAGGGATGGTTATGGCTGAAACCTGGAGCTAGTTTATGTCAGCATATACCCTTCCATACACACACACACACACATACATATATACACGTGTATGTATTTTTTTTCTAAATGTATGTACTACAGGCATATGATAAAATTTAACCATTCCAGAAAGGTATAACATAAAAAACAAGCTTCTCCCTCCTCAGTTCACTCCAATTCAGCTCATATCCCCAACTCAGTCTCCTTATTAACAGTTTCTTGGGTATCTTTCTAGAAAAAAAAATTAATACATGTTCCAGCATTCATTTTTACTTACATAGATAAACTCATACTTTGCACATTGTTATGCATGTCACTTTTTTTTTTAAAACCTCATTTCCTTTTAAACTCTGATTCCTCTTCTCTCCTGGTGATAATGTCCCCCTTGTCTAGCTAACAAAGTCTTGTTGGCCTTTCACTTCACACTCAAGGGAAATCGGAAACTGGGTGCTGGATACCTTTGGGCCTTGGAGCTTACTTAGGGGATTTCAACGGTACCTCCCCCTTCTTCCTGCATTTTCCATCTATGTCTTTCAAAGTTGTTTGACAGCTCAGAAAGCTATTTGTCATCAGCATGGGCCCTATTTTGGTTGGATTTATCTACTCCCTCAGGCACTGCCAATTTCAACAAATGTGATTTTTGCAAACAAGCCCAGAAAAAAGGGGAAAAAGAGGGAAGAGAACTAAGCTGGACTTACGTACCAACTTTAACCACAGAAATAATGTCAGCAGCTGAAGTTGTTCATCCTGACAAAAAGAAGTCCTCATGCAGGATGATTAATGCCCTGAGATCAGGTCCCAGTCCAGCGCTTGACTTTGTTTCCTACGTGGTCTCACGGGACTGTTCAGCTTTTCAGTCACAAGTCTCAAAAGAAACGTGGGTCCAAAAAATGCAGGTTACATGGAAAATGTAGGGGGAAAGACAGCACAGGGGCCCACTGGAAATATGTTTTATCTGCCTATAGGGACAGAACTCAGGACAAATATTCCCTGCAGAAACGTCGCTGCCATGTTCCCCTTCACGTCTCTCCATCCCATAGGATGGACATCTGACTTGTAGAGCATCTGGGGATGGATTGCTCGCCACTGGACCAGTGGAAGGTTGGGTTGCCAGGGGGAAGACTCCTTGTTCCCTACTAGCAGCCAATGGAAAGAGTGCAGGAGTCAGAACTCACCACTTCCAGGATGGCAGACAAAGTGAAGGAGATGTTGACCTGAGTGGGGATGCTGTAGTTGATGACCGGACGGAAGTCCTTCTGGTTAAATATAGTCTGGAAGGCAGCAGGGTCCACCCCGTGCTGGTCAAAGCCTGAGTAATTGACGGTGAAAGTGTTTGACCTTCTTGTAGAGAGCAGAGACCCTGTGAGATGGGAATAGGACTTTTGTGTGTCCTACGTAAGAGGAGTACCAGGGCTGAGGCCTGAGAGCCTCTCTGCAGAGAAAGAAAATGTGGACACGGGGTGAAGCACGTGAGCCCCTCCTTCCTGGGCCAAGACTTCTGAAATCCAAGCCCTTCCTGCCAGGACTGGGGAGCATGGGCTGTTCTGGTAGGCAAATGGGGGAAGTTGATGTGATGAGCTGAACCAGGGCTCAGACCTTTCTTCCTGTGCTTTACTCCCATATAAAGCCTCCCCAAATTTGTATGCAAACAGCCTCTCTGGGGAGTCCTAGTCCTTCCGTAGTCCCAACCCTGAAGTTTTGGCTTTTGTTTGACCATACTGTTTTCTTTCTAGCTCTATTTTGACTTATTCTCATAGTCACTGAGCAAAATTTCCCTAAAATTTTGTTTCTTAATTACCCCTTCCCGCTTTCATGTTTTCCCATTTCCTGGAAGGAAAAATTTGGGAAGAAATCAACCTGAGTGCAATCTGAAATATGTGGGGACTTACTGTTGTCCTGAATGTGAATTTACTGGCTACCCACTATGTGCTGCGCTCTGTGCCCTTCTCCAGCTCAGTGGCTTCCTCTAAGACCCATGGGAACCAGCTTCATGGTCACCATTCTGAGAGGATCTCACTGATCATCTACCATGTGCTTGGTGGAGCCAGGCAATGAAATGTAGAAGCCCTTTGGCTCCTCTGACCCTCATCCCAGCGACAGATGACTGTGTGGTTATTCCTGTAACTACAGCCCAACAAGTCCTTGTGCCTTGTCCATTACTCCCCCATGCCAGCTAACTCATAAGGTACATCTCCAAACCAAGGAGAAACACATCGCAAGGGAAGAAAATGTTGTCCTTTCCCCTCTACATCACCTCCTCTGCAAGATCTTCCTGAGTGAGGTGGGAAAAGAGCTATGTTCCTGTCACCAGGACCAAAACCACCCTGTTCATAGTTACTATGTCTTGGTAGAAAGGAAAAGTTGGACACTGTAAAGGAGTGGCATTGGAGAGGTGGCAAATGGAAAGACAGTTCAGTAGATGCCTAGGCGGGCAGATGAAAGAGGGGCTGTGTGTACTAATCAGTGAAATGGGGTTTTTGTCTGTTTCCAAGGAAGCCATAACATAGATCCTACAGAGAAACAAAATGTTTAACCCAGTTATTTTAGATGCTTTCTAGTTCTGGAGAATGAGAGGGTTTCTGTATTTTGCCCAGAACAGCATTCCCATCTTTCCTTGTTCTTGCCCCATCTTACCTGGAAGCAGAAGGCTGACAGTGAGGTAGAGGAGGACTCCCCCCTCCACAGGCCACCCCCCTTCCCTCATCCTCTTCTGGACTCTTCTCTGGGGACACACCAGGAGCCCCCAAACTCTTGAGCTTAAAGGAGCTCAGACCACACCTTGGTTCCTGGTTTTGAATAGTGCTCATGACAGGTGACCACTTCCTGGTGAGAGGCTGTAGCCAGAGAGGGCACAGCAGAGTGTCCTGCTTTGTCCCCATGCTGGTATGCCTTCCGGGCTCCAGGCAGAGGGGATGTTAGGCCTTCAAGACCAGGGGAAAAACACCTGTTTAGCAGCCTTGTCTAGATGAGTGGTTTAAATCTGAGTTCCAAGTACTTTTTGGGGAAAATGGGGGATGTGGGAGATCGGGCAGGTAAAGCCATTGATAAAAGTCTCATCAGGTGCTTCTGGAACTAACTATGCCTCAGAGAAAGTGCATGGATCATTCAGAAATGGATGTGGTGGAGACACCTGCTAATTTCACAAGGCAAGAACATGTAATTATTTTGTTGCAGACCTAGAAATGTATCCTTTATCCACTTGTGGACATTAGGGATTATTGTCAATAGTGAGTTAAAAGTATTGAGAGTAAGCTTCTTTTTCATGATGTAAACCTGACTAACAGACCTCTGCCCCCACAGCTAGCACAGCTAGTACAGATCTGCATCATCCCTTGTTTGCACTATTGGGACATCTTCCTAAGGTTTCCTCTGCTTGGGGTGCCTGGGTGGTTCAGTCGTTAAGCGTCTGCCTTCGGCTCAGGTCATGGTCCCAAGGTCCTGGGATCGAGCTCTGCATCGGGCTCCCTGCTCGGCTGGAAGCCTGCTTCTCCCTCTCACACTCCCCCTGCTTGTGTTCCCTCTCTCACTGTATCTCTCTCTGTCAAATAAATAAATAAAATCTTAAAAAAAAAAAAAAAGCTTTTCCTTCCTTGGTTTTCCCCCAGTCCAATTCTTTTTTTTTTTTTTTTTAAGATTGTATTTATTCATTTGTGAGAGAGAGAGAACGAGGCAGGGGGAGAGGCAGAGGAAGAGGGAGAAGCAGACTCCCCGCTGAGCTGGGAGCCAGATGTGGGGCTTATACCAGGACCCTGGGATCATGACCTGAGCCGAAGGCAGATGCTTAACTATCTGAGCCACCCAGGTGTCCCTCCCCAGTCCAATACTTCATTTTGCCATTCCCCTAACACAGAACTCTCCTGCTCACCCTTCCTTATCTAATGTCTCTGAAGGCCTACAGCCCTGGGGCCATGTGGGAATATGTGAGTAAAAAAATCACTTGATGAGCTTTTTGAAAATACCTGCACTCCCAGCCTCCCCGACCTCTATGGAAGGGTGTGCGTGTATTTAAAGCTCCCCAGATGGTTCTGACACACTTCATTGAAAACTTTTGGGCTGGTCTGTGTTACCATACCACAAACAGGATGCTGATATTGATATATATACTCAAGATAGAGAACTTTAACACCAGGATCCCCATGTTTTCCTTTTATAGCTACAAGCCACCTCCCTCCCTCCCTAACCTCCCGCTGTCTGGCAGTCATTCATTTGTTCTCCGTTTCTATAATTTTGTCGTTTCAAGAATGTTATATAAATCAAATCGCACAGTATAAACTTTTGGAGACTGGCTTTTTTTTTTCACTCAGTGTAATTCTCTGGAGACCCATCCAGATTGTTGTGTGTATCAGTATGTATTCTTTTTTATTGCTGACTAGTATTCCATGGTAGGAATGTACCACAGTTTGTTCAACCACTCACCTGTTGAAGGTCTTCTGAAGTTTTTAAAAATTTTTTAATTTTGTTGAAGGACTTCTGAGTTTTTTTTTTTTTAAAGATTTTATTTATTTATTTGACAGAGAGAGAGAGAACAAGTAGGCAGAGAGGCAGACAGAGGCAGAGGGAGAGATGCGGGGCTCTATCCCAGGACCCTGGGATCATGACCTGAGCCGAAGGCAGCGGCTTAACCGACTGAGCCACCCAGGTGCCCCAGGACTTCTGAGTTTTAAGGGAAAACACTTATTTCCTCTACTTCACTCACAACACTTAAAAAAAAAAAAAGATTTATTTATTTGGTGGGGAGGGGCAGAGGGAGAGGAAGGGAGACTTTCAGGCAGACTCCCCACTGAGTGCAGAGCCTGATGCGGGGCTCACGACCCTGAGATCATGACCTGAGCCGAAATCAAGGGTTGGATACTTAACTGACTGAACCAGCCGGGTGCTCCCACAACCAAACTGTGGGCTTTTCCCTCACACCAAGTAATTCTGACACTACCCCTTCTGGCATACTCCTTGGGTTAAGGGCTCAGTCCCTCAAGACTGACCCCCACTTCAGGTGCCAATTGCAAGTCAGGGCCTCCTGTACTTCTGACCAACTGACAATAAATTGGGGGTCCCCACAACCCCCTCTTCAGATTCAGTTTTTTGCTATAACAACTCACATAACTCATGGAAACATTTACTTCTGTTTACTGGCTAAAAAGTTTATAATAAAGTATACAGATGAACATCCAGATGAAAAGGTACACAGGGTGAGATCTGGAAGGGCCCTGAGGGCAGGAGCTTCTGTCTCCATGGAGTTCCAGCGTGTAGATGTGTCACCAACCTGGAAGGTCTCCAAACTGCATAGTTGAAGGATTTTTTATGGAGGCTTCATTATGTAGGCATGATCAATTATTAACTCAATCTCTAGCCCCATTCCCCTCCCTAGAGGGTGGGATTGGGGCTGAGAGTTCCAAGCTTCCAGTCATAACTTGGTCTTTCTGGTGACCAGTCCCCATCCTGAAGCTATCCAAGAGCCTACAAAGAGTCACCTCATTAGAACAAAAGATGCTCTTATTATCTAGGAAATTCCAAGGGATTTATGAACTCTGTGTCAGGAACTGGGAGCAGAGACCAAATATACATTTTTTCACAGAGTTCTTTATAGTTTTTGTCTATTACATGTATACCTGTTATAAATGTTTGTCTACAGGTTTTTGTGTGAACAAAAGTCTTCTGGAATAAATACTCAGAAGTAGAATTGCTAGATAGTATGGTATTTGCATGTACAGTTTTTAAAGAAATTGCAATACTCTTTTCCAGAGTGGCAGTACCATTTTACATTCCCACCCACAACGTATGAATGATCCAGCTTCTCTGCATTTTTCAGGGTTTAGAACTTTGGATAAGGAAGGACTTCTGAAAATAGGACCCTAAAATCACAAACATAAAGGAAATGATTGATAAATTCAGCATTAAAAAAATGTTAAACTTATTTTCATTAAAGGACACTAAATGTGGGGCGCCTGGGTGGCTTAGTCAGTTAAGCATCTGCCTTCGGCTCAGTTCATGATCCCAGAGTCCCGGGATCGAGCCCCGTATCAGACTCCCTGCTCAGCAGTGAGTCTGCTTCTCCCTCTGTCCCTCACCCCACTCGTGTTCTCTCTCACTCTCTCTGTCTCTCTCTCAAATAAATAAATAAAATCTTAAAAAAAAAAGGAAACTAAATGTGAAAAGTCAAATATCATAAACCAGGAAAATATCTTTGCAACACATAACTGACGGAAGAATAGTAGAAAATACATAAAACATGCCTATAAATGAATAACAATGACAAAAAACCCTATCAGAAAAATGGACTGAAGGGGCGCCTGGGTGGCTCAGTCGTTAAGCGTCTGCCTTCGGCTCAGGTCATGATCCCAGGGTCCTGGGATCGAGCCCCGCATCAGGCTCCCTAATCAGCTGGAACCCTGCTTCTCCTTCTCCCGTTCCCCCTGCTTGTGTTC